GCTGGCAGTCCACGGGTTGGGTGGAGAGCCCACTGAGCACACTCACCTGCCTAGGGTGGAGTAGCCCTTTCTTGTATCGCATCAGGTCAGCACGTGCTTCTATGTCTCACAGTTCTGTGCTAAACTGACCCCACCCAGCAGAGGCCCCATTCCTCCTCCTACCTGGTCCTCTTCTACCTGGACTACACCTTTGCCTCAGGGGAGCCCTCCATGAGGAAAGGACAAAGGACACGCTGGTGACCGGAGTGTCTACGTGTTTAGAGTGCCATTCTCTACTATCTCATGGCCGCCATGCAGCATGGTGGCATACCTGTGACCAACACGGAGTCCTGTGCCTGACTCTGGACAACCCAGATTTTCTTCAGGCCACAGTCCCTCTCTGTACAATCCAGACGAAGGGAACAGTGTTCCTGGGGAGCCAAAACTGGGCCAGAATTTACAGCTCTATGGAACCAAGGGCGCACATCAGGGCTCCTTCAAGCAAGACCAGGTGAGAGAAGGGGTCAGGTGCGGGGGTGTGGAGGGGAGGCGTCTCGTGGGATCCTGGCATCATGCTGGGGTAACTCAGGTAGCTGTGGCCAGAAAAAGGAATGGGCCCACCCTTTCCGGGAGGGCTCTGCTCACTTACCCACCCACTCCGCCCGCGCGCAAGGCCACCTACGGCCCCACCCTTTGCCCAAGGTCCCGCCCCGTGAAATGAAGCCACGCCCTCGTGGTAGAATAAGCTTCCCGCCGCACCTCCCCCGTCCCAGCCGCCTTTCTGAGCTGAGCGGAGCAAGCCAAGGCTCCATCCAAACCGGGTCTTTTGGGAAACCCTGGAGCGCGAAGGCTTCTGGGGAATTAAGTTTCCACTGGGCACCTCGGCCGGATTTACGCATGCTCGCGGCTAGGGGCGGAGTCTACAGGGGCAGTGGGCAAGGTTAAGGGTTCTTAACGTAGAGAGCTCCGTTTTCCACCTCTTAAGCATGTTTCCCCCCAGACCCATTTCCTTCTACTTGCTAAGTTGCTCAACCTGCCTGACTGGTTCTAAGCAGGCTCCTCAGTCACCCTGGCTTGCAGTCCCTGCCCTACTTGGTCTCTCCTTTTCTGGTGTTTTCCGGAATGGGGTCCAAGCCGTCCCACTGTAGTGTAGACCCAGAGGAGGCCACTGGTTGGCCCATAAACTTGCAACTATTGTCCCGTCCCCCCCCCCCCCGTCCCCCGAGCCCCACAGTCATTCTTCATGTCCCCTATGGGTGAGGAGGTGAAGCTACTGAAGCAGAGGGGTGCCAGGGCCAAGAATGGGTGCGGGGTACAGAAAACTTTGAGGAGCTTCACCCCAACTCACCAACACAGGGAAACTGCAGTTTTAGAAACAAGCTGAAAATGTCACTTGTGTCTGATGTCCATGTAATTGTACGATAAGTAAAGTGTATCTACAAAGTTGTGTCAAGCTTTTTTTTTAATTAGGAAAGTGGACAATCCTGTAAGTAGTCTCAAGCATCCCAGTATCTGCTGGGTATGGGCAATAGGTGGCAAGGGGGAACTCTGAACAGTAGCTGTAGAGGTGTGAGCAATGGCTGGGTAACCCCAGCCCCTCTGAAGGCCCCAGAATCTGAAGGCCTGCCTCCACTTCCTTTCTGGGGCCATGACCCAAGGAGGTAAAGCATGCTCAGATGAATCGTGATTGAGTCACCCCAGATTGGCAAATGCCCCTTAGAGCCCAAACCTTGGCCTCCACCCATCTGGGAATGAGGGGTGACTGGCGGCTGTGCTCCAGTTGCTAAGGCCTCTTGGGATCTTGAGAACCCCATCTTTGAGCTCCGCCCCAAGGCCCCACCCCTCTCTAGGAGGGAAAAGGCACCTGCTGGTAGCTCTACTCACAGGCACTGGGACCTGGAGCTGGAGGACAGGAAGTCACGCTGCTGCTGCTGCTGCTGCTACTGCTGCTGCTGCTGCTGCAGGTGAGTCCTTGCCCCAGTGACTGACCTGACTGAGAGGTGACTTCCCGACAGCCCCTACTCTCCCTTGGACCAACTCACCTGTGTCTCCTAGCCATTTATCCCCATTCCCAGCTGCATCCAGGAGCATCTCTTGGATACTTGGTGGAGGGTGGCAACTGGGTACTTGGGTCTACCTCCAAGACACAGAGACCTTGCATATATTCTGATGTCTCCACATCTGCACGCAGTGATGTGGCTCTTTACAAGGCAGACTCCTCCTAAATGGGTGTCTTCTTGGGCTATAGGCTCTCAAGCAGCTTTTCTCTTCCCTGAGTCCATATAAGTGTCTCTGCTCACCCCTGCAGCTTGGGCCATGGACCCCCATGAGATGGTTGTGAAGAATCCATACGCTCACATCAGCATCCCTCGGGCTCACCTGCGGTCTGACCTGGGGCAGCAGTTAGAGGAGGGTCCCTCTTCATCTTCCTCCTCTGAGAGTCAGCCTCTGCCTTCAGGAACCTGTGCCCCAGAGCCAGCAGGCCTCTTGCAGACTACTGAAGCCCCAGGGCCCAAGGGTATCAAGGGCACCAAAGGCACTGCTCCTGAGCAGAACCAACAGACCTGGCAGTCACCCTGCAATCCCTACAACAGTGGGCAGCGTCCATCAGGACTGACTTATGCTGGCCTGCCGCCTGTGGGGCGTGGCGATGACATTGCCCACCACTGCTGCTGCTTCCCTTGCTGCTCCTGCTGCCACTGTCCACGATTCTGCCGCTGTCACAGCTGTTGCTGTGTTGTCTCCTAGCCTGACTATCCAACCTCCGGGGCTGTGGGGCCCAGGCCTCTGCTCAATGCCAAAGTGGTGCTGGACATCAGGAGCGGCCATGGGCGTGGGCATCAGCCACTTCTTGCCCTGGACAGGGGAGCCTGTCCACCAGGAAGGCTCAGTGGGTGCCCTCTGGAATATGGTCCCAGCCACTAGCCATGTTGGCAGCAATAGGGACACTCTTCACTTCCTACGAGACTTTGGCAATAAAGCAGGGTGAGCAGTGTGCCGATGACTCCTTTTTTACCAGGGTTCCATTTGGGAGAGGGTCCTAGTCTGGGTAACTATTTTTGTCCTCAACATACACAAATACAACCTCCCTAGTAGGCTCCCAGACTCTGTGGGACGGACCTTCCAGAGACTGGAAAGCCACTGCCTCATGACCACCATAGTTTAGGGGCCTTGCAGGTCTCAGCCCACCCAGGGGCTTGTAGGTGGTAATATGTCTCCTGCCCTGGGCCAGTTCTCTGGTCTCCCTAAGGCTAAAGCTGAGATCGTAAACAAGGTTAACCCTGAGTCACAAGGCAGGAGGGTGCCATACTTGCCACTGTGGGGGGCCCCAAGAAAATACTCTGAGGGAGGATCAGACTGGAGGGCTGTTGGCGGGTGGGGCTGATGTTAGCAGGTTTCAGGGAGTGGGAACTCAGGATCCAGGGCCCAGAACCCAGCCCTGCCCAACGTGAGTCACCTCCAAGCCTCAGCCAGAGCATGTTTCTGGTTTCCCACAAAAGATAATTCCTACAATCCAGAGCTCTGCTGTTTAACCTATTTCGAGTGATGTGTACCAGGCCTTGAAGGGCTGAGGGGAGTGTTCCCTTCTTGTCTGTCCAAGCAGTGTAAGATGCCTGCTGGGGGCCATGCATGAGATGCCAGCGTAGGGAGTGTGCAAGGAGGTCAGCTCTGGGCAGCCAGGTGTTTCCGGGGCAGGGCAGAGCCACGGCACCACGTGAAGAGGGAGGAAGAGCTAGCCTCACAAGACAAACGAGTCCTCCTGAAGTTGGCCCTCCCCTGATACAGAGACGGGTCATATAAGCGGGCAGGCTAGATGTGTAGTGTGTAGAAGTCTCCAGGTATGGGCAGATAGGTCATTGCCCTGACTCTCATCTCCAAGCTCCTTGTCCCCTGTTTCAGTGAGGGCCAGCACAGGAACCCGTTGGACCAGTCTTAAAGGCACACTGCCAAGCAGGTGGGTAAAAGTGAGTAAGGAGGCTTGCTCCTTGGCTTTCTCCTAGCAACCCTGTGTGCAGTCCTAGGGGTCCTATCAGTCTATCCCAACACAACTGAGTCTCCCTAGCTCTGTGCTCTCTCCAGGCCTCATCACAGGGAAACTGATCCCACCTCCCTGAACTGTCTCCCTGGATTATTGCAGACTGAGGGTCAGATAGGCAGTCAATTGGGAGGTGCTTAGGATGGGCGGGGGGGGGGGAGTGCGGGGGGGGGGGAGCTTCTGGCATGATGGTTGTGTGAGAGAGATTGGCACACATTTTGTTCGAGTGCCACCTCAGGGCCGAGGGGTGGGCTACTGCCTGTGACATTACAGGATCGACCTAGTCTAGATAGGGAGGAAGGTGATCCTGAGAAGTACCACAAATGAACAAGACTATGCACCCTACCATGGAGCTGGTAAGGGGTGGGGGCAGGTTCCCTGGGAGGTGGTGTGAGCAGAGCCTGAAGAGTGGGCATCCCTCAGGCCAAAGCAGGAAAACATGACAATCAGATGAGAGGGGTGAGGGCTTGATGGTATGAGAGAACAGGGAAGGCATAAACGCTGAGGACTTCTAGGGTGGAGAAAGACAAAGCCGGGTCTCCAGGAGTTACGGGGGGGGGGGGGGGGGTGGGGGGGGTGGGGGGGGGGGGGGGGGGGGGGGGGGGGGGGGGGGAGTGGTCTGAGCAGCATCCGTTCTGCAGGGGGCTGGCTCACCTTATCTCCGGCCCAGTGGGTGGTGCATTAGATCCTGTTGCAGACGCTTTGTAGCTGAAAGGGGAGCCTACTCTCACTTGATGCAGTCACCACCTGCCTCCTGCCGTCTTGCCTGTGTGGTCAGTAATGCGAGCCCAAGGAGGGAGCCATGAGGTGTCCCGGGTCCCCACCCCCTTCTCCAGAAATCCTCTAGCTGGGAATATCTTTCTGGTGGAGTGGATGCAGGTAAGAGAAGCCTGGGGTTCAGGAAGGCTAGGGGTGGGGGACAAGCAGGAGGGGCCGTGGATGGGTCTCAACAGGGGGGTAGGGTGCTGTTTCAGCCAATGGCCACGGAAACAAGAGATAGACTTGGTATGCCCAAGGCCACCATCTTCCTCCAGGTGTGCAGACACTTATTGTCTGTCCCATAGCCCTGTCTTCTGTCTTCTGGGGGACAGCATGGACCAAAACATCACATAGATGGGCAGAGGTGGACTGTGGTTTGTGCTGTTGCCCTGTTGGTTCCTTCATACTTTCCCTAGGATGCTGCAGCCTGAAGGCCCCCAAGCCTTGGAGGAAGGGGCAGCCCTGACCGCCCCACGGAATGACTGTGTCATCTGCTACTCTGCCTATGACCTGTCAGTACACTTGCCTCGCCGCCTCTACTGTGGCCACACCTTCTGCCAAGCATGCATGCGGCGGCTGGACACCCCAGCCCATGAACAACACTGGATCCCCTGCCCACAGTGCCGTCAAAGTACCCCTATGCCCCGAGGAGGGGTGACCATGTTGGACCTGGACCTAGCTGCCTTTTTGGCAGTCAAAGCTGAACGGGAACCATCAAGAATAGAACCCAGGTCCTCTGTCCCCCTCAAAGTCAGCGCTACCATCACTCAGCAGCCAGCCGAACTCTACCCCACCTTGCGCCCCCAACCCCACTTTCCTCAGCCTGGATGCTGTTGCTGTGGCTGGGGAAGACTGTGCTGGTATCCCCCTGGGAACGCTGAGGTCTAAATTCTGGCTCTCTCCACCTCCACAAAGGAAATTGTGCTAGCAGCTTGCCTGCCTTGGAGCCACTGATCATACACAGTGCATACAGAACAGTTTGCTAGCAGGGCATCCTTCTTAAGAGTCCTGCGTGACCCAACATAGTGGTATCACCCTGACCAGGGACAGTGGCCTAAGATCAGAGTCAGTGGCCATCGTGCCACAGTAGGCTGGTGACCTCCCATTATACTTGTCTAGATTCCCATACCCCAAACTGGCCTGACTTTGTTTGGCCAGCCAACATTCTGCTGTCTACGTCACCTGTAAACCCAGGACTTAGCATAGAGAATGGTTCCTGAGAGTCTTTGGGGATGAGTGCAGGGGCCTGGGCAGGGTCAGGCTATGGTTGCACATGAGTGGCTGGCCTCAGAGCAGGTCTTCCTCTCTGTAAGCATCCAGAGGGATGAGCCAGGAGGGAGGGCAGGTTACCTCCTGGAGTCTTATGTATTTCATCTATTCCACAGTGGTCACTGAGCTCCTACCATGAGCCAGACACTGTTCCGAGAGGGTCCGCTGCAACATAAAGCTACCTCTTCGACAGGCACCCAAGGCATCCAAGAAGGGTGCCGTAGAGAGCCAGCTCTGACAAGGGTCTTGCCTGAGGTCTCACAGCTCATTATCCTAATTCAAGACTCCCAGGCTCCTCCCACCTCTGGTGACCCTAACACAGACCGTCTGTAGATGCCCTAGGTTAAAAATTACTGACAACCCCCAGGCCAAAGCTGTAAACCTCCATCCCTCTAGGAAGGAGCTGTATTCAGGAGCCCCTGAGAGGGGCCTCCTGGGGAGTGGTTGTAGGATGGGGAGGAAAGAGAATTTGCTGAATAGACATTGGGAAGACTCCTTCACTGGGCAAAGTCCCTCAAGCACCCAGGGACAGAGCTGGGCAGTGAGCAGAGCAGGGTGCTGGAACTTGCAGGGCCCCTAGGGAAACAGCTTGCAGGGGAGGGCCTAGTCCCCATCCCAGGGGCTGGAAGGGAGCTGACCCATAAGAGAGCACATTTCACATGCACATGGGCACAGAACAGCCCTCATCTGGGAAATGACACTCGGATAGGATTCAGGCAATGAGCACTGTGGGATGGGGATAGGCTCGGCCCTCCCCCTCCGTCTCTGCAGATAGGCCCACCTGCTGGCCTCCACAGAAAGCCCTTCAGGATCTAGCCCTACCCTTAAACTCAGATTTGAATCTGCTGACCTGAGAGCCTGGGTACCTTCCCGGGGCCACCTGAGGAAATCCGTCTTCCACACCCACCTGGTGCAAAGGGCTTCCCTCTCATCTCTGTCAGGTGCATGGATGAACATGATAAGGTTTGCAGAGTTCAGAGGAACACAGGAAGAGGAGGGCAACGTTCTCCTGGGGTCCCTAGGTTGCCCCAGTCAGAATGAGAGCGTCTTGCCTGGGTGGTGTAGAGTGTCCATTAAATGTATCCGATGCCTACTGGTGGCTTCAGTGTCTAGCTCTATTATGCTCCTGGCCAGATGTTGCCCATCCCTAGAAGAAGTTCCACCCCAAGAGAGTTGAGCTGGGGGCTCAGAACTCCTAGCCCCAGGATGACAAGGGCCTGAATAAGGCCTCGAGGCCAGGCAGGGTCTCCCCTTGGGGGCCCCAGCTCCTGGGTAAACATTAATGGGGCTCCACACACAGCAGGTCATGTGCGTACTGGGCAGATCTTTGACCTGAAGCTATTCCTGCTGTGCCTCCTCCCCGCTGGTGCCCCCTCACCACACGTGCAGGTAGGAGCTCCCAGAACTAGACCAAGCTAAGGGACACTGGACCAGAGCGGAGTGACCACCAGGTTCAGGGTAGGGGTACCACTCTGAACCCCAGGACCTAAGAGCAAGTGAGAAGAGCCTAGTGGCAGGCCAGAGGGAGGGGTCACAAAGGACCCCTGGGCCTGAGCCCAAGCACTGGGGAAGGGGTCAGGGTAGACTAGGATTCAAAGAATTCCAGACCCAGAGGCCCATGGGGTCAGAGCTGCCAGAAGGGACCTGATGTAGGCAGGGGGCTCCCAAGTCCTGCTTCTAAGTTGGGGGTGGGGTGGGGTGGGGCTCTTATCAAGCGAAGACGTCACTTGCTTGGTATCAAATACCAAAGTCTAAGCTGGGACCATCTGCAGTGTCCTCATTGACACTTGATAGGAGAAATCCCAGGGTTCTCTAGCTACCGGTGACTTCCAGCCAGCACCCCAGAACCCTGTACCCTCAGTCAGCTGTCATACCTTCTTCTAGCCAAGAGCAGTAAGGGAGCGGAAATCCAGTGGCCCCCTGTCTTCTGCCCCCGAAACTAGACTGGGCTCTCCTGACAGCCACCTGAGGTCACTGCAGCCATCTGTCCGTGGTCAGAGCCACCAAGACCTGCAAGGTGTGGGGCTACGGCTGAAGTTCCAGGTCAGGGGCCTGACTTTAGATTGCTTGGTGGGGTAGAGGCAGAGTAGGAAGAGCGGCCAACCCTTACCTGCCTTGCCCTCAGCAGATCTAGGATTGGGCCTGGGTCTCTCTCTGCTTGAAATCCATGCCGAATTCCCTCACTGGTGGCCAGTTCCCCAACCCTACCCTGGATGCGATTGACCTGGTGGACCGGAATCTGAGAGATGCAGGTATCAGGCACCCTAGGGCTCCTACTTCTGGACAGCTACGCTAGGCAAAATGAGGTTTCTCTCTCTAGCTGCGCTCTTGAAGAGTTCTGGGGTCTCCTCACACCTCTGGCCTGAGCCAGACTCCCCATAGCCCTTTCCCTTCCCTGCTTCTGTGCCTCACCCATAACCCCTTGGGCCCCAGCCTCTTCCACCTCTGGCTTCCTCTTGTTCTTCTCCTTGGGAGTTCGACAAACAGCCCTCCTTGACTTGACCCCTGCAGGGACCTCCCGGTCTATCCCAGGCTCGGAGGAGGGAGGCACAGACCCCTGGGCCTTCCCTCAGCTGAAGAACACTGGCCAACTGAAAGGTAGGTCTGGGTGCGATGAGACAGCGTGCAGGCAAGGCCCCTGACTTCCCATTTCCTAGCAGAGTATAAGCTGGGACTTAGTAGAACACATGGCAAAGAAATTCACATTAATCTGCTTGAGACAGAGTGAAAACTCCCTTTCCAGCCTCTTGTCTTCCTTTTACTCCATGCTGATGGCTCCAATTCTGGGACTCCCCCTCCAAGGTCATGGGTTTAGCCATATGGCTAAGGATCAAGGGAGGGCCAACGAGGGGGTACAGACTCTGCTCCACATGGATTCCTGCCCAATGGGACAGAAGGGAGATCCTGTGCTATTCCTGAGAGGTGACAGGAAACACAGTCCCTGTTCTCAGGGAACAAAGTGTGTGTGTGTGTGTGTGTGTGTGTGTGTGTGTGTGTGTGTGTGTGTGTTGCTACTGCTGGGCAGTAGCCAGCTGGTCAAATATAGTCCTATCTGGTGTCCCTAGAGGTCAGCATGGCCAGCAGGCTTCGCCAAGTGATCATCAACTTCCTTAAGGCATGTGGACTCCTGGGAAGCCTCTACTTCTTCATCTGCTCCCTGGACATCCTCAGCTCTGCCTTCCAGCTGCTAGGCAGTGAGTGACCAGGTGGGAGGCCAGGGTGGGCTTGGGAAGTCAGCTCTCTACAGCCTCGCTGCATCTCTCTGTGGGGAACAGGCAAAATGGCTGGAGACATTTTCAAGGACAATGTGGTGCTGTCCAACCCTGTGGCTGGCTTGGTCATCGGTGTGCTGGTCACAGTCCTTGTCCAGAGCTCCAGCACATCTTCCTCTATCGTGGTCAGCATGGTGGCCTCTAAGTGTGAGTTTGCCTCTCCTTCCCAGGGCAGAGGTGGGTGGGCTGGTGAACAGGCAGGGCTGCTGAAATGGTACCCCTACAGTGCTGACTGTCCAGGTATCCGTGCCTATCATCATGGGCGTCAACGTGGGCACTTCCATCACCAGCACCCTGGTCTCAATGGCGCAGTCAGGGGACCGGGATGAGTTCCAGAGGTGAGTCAGGGCTGAAGGGCCAGGCTGGGTCTACCTTGACCTCAGTAGAGGCTACTCAGACAGACAGCCTGCCCTGTGTGACTGCAGGGCCTTCAGCGGCTCGGCTGTGCATGGCATCTTCAACTGGCTCACAGTGTTGGTATTGCTGCCGCTGGAGAGCGCCACAGCAGCATTAGAGAGGCTGAGTGAACTGGCCCTGGGCGCTGCTAGCCTGCAGCCAGGGGGGCAGGCCCCCGACATCCTCAAGGCACTGACGCAGCCTTTCACACACCTCATCATCCAGGTGAGGACAGATGTGCCATAGGAAGGTACCTGTGCCTGGCTGATGAGGAACAGGAGGCAGAAGCCCTGTCCTGGATGGCGACAGAAGAGGGTTTAGGCTTATAATAAGCTGAAGGATAAGAGTACCAGACACATAATCATGCCCCCTCTGTCTCCCAGCTGGATAGCAGCGTGATTACCGGCAGCGCTACCAGCAACACCACTAACAGCAGCCTCATTAAGCAATGGTGTGGCGTCAAAGGGGAGACGGTGAGGTGCCTCTGACCCCATCCCTCATTTGACCTCTGACCTGCTGAATCATCCTGCTCACTTAATCTTGAGCCTTTTACCCTTGTCTGCCTGCTGTGAGCCTGGCCTGAGTCCTCCCTATCCCTCAGTCCCAGGAGAGCAATGAGGAATGCGGCATCTTCAGTCCCTGCACAGAGGTGAACGGTACAGCATCTCCAGAGGAGAACAGAGTGCCTTGTGAGTACCTCCAGCAGTCCTACCCCCTACCCTGCTTACTGCTCCGACCTCCTCCTCAACTTCCTGCCCTGCCACAGGCCAGCACCTGTTTGTGGGCACAGGGCTCACGGATCTGGCTGTGGGCTTCATCCTGCTGGCGGGCTCTCTGCTGGTGCTCTGTACCTGTCTGGTCCTCATCGTTAAGCTGCTCAACTCTGTGCTGCAGGGCCGCATTGCACAGGCTGTGAGAACTGTCATCAATGCAGGTGGGTGTAGGGCGGCCCTGGACCTGGGATGGAGGAGAAGGCAGGAGGGTAAAAAACGACCCCTTGCCT